AGACTTTAACCGGAATTAAATTCCAGTGTCACATTGTGTGTGGCATAGGAAGTGTCCATACTCGTATCGTCGGCTTTTGTTGAAACCCCAAGTCGACGTGTTGTGCCGTTGAGGAACAGCGAAGCTGACCTGCCCGGCTGACGGATGTCCTTCTAAGTCCGGATAAGACGATTTAATGCTAGAGAGGCATGAGGGCTGACGCCCTTTGGTTGATGCCCACCTTCATGCTGCTCAGCGAATGTTATTTCAAGATACATATAACGCCACTGTATGTAACTTCAAATACTATGTAACGTTTCAAATCATTAAGTCTATGGGGTTTTGCAATAAAAAGCCGATGTCCGAAAAATGGCTTCTGTAATCACTGTGCTTTGTGAAAATTCTTGTATGTACCTACTTGGCTTTCTACCCCAACTACGTCCTCGTAGCATTTTAAAGAAAAATATAAGAATTTATTACTGCAATATCTTAATTAGCGATGTGTTCCAATTTTTCATTTGCTGTATTTGAATAAATCTGTGTAGATAATATCGATGGTTTTCTAGAATAGTGGCCTATCTCAAAATCAACAAATTCGTCAGGAAGGTGGTTTAGAATCAACTGAAGGATAACTAACATTCAAATACGACGAAACATACACTGGTGCATGTTCTCACTTGTTTATTTTAACCAATGAAATGCTCGGTGTGTTTTTTTACAATAAAATTTAGCACATGGTGAATGCATTCGTGTTATATGATAAATATGTACTATTTTGAGTTGAGCCACTATTCTTGAAAAGTAGCGATATAGTCAGAGCAATTAACATTGATAATGTTTTGGTAAATTCAAATTTCTCTAATGACAGTAGAGAGGTTGTACTTCCAGGCTCTAATTGGCTTTGTAGGTAACATGTAGCGAAGTTACAGCTGTTGGCATATTGCCAGGTCTTATCTGTGAACGACACTCTGGTACACATTGTGCGTTCATTTCAATGATCCTTATTCGTAAGATCCTTAAATTGCACCCACACAGTAACTCACGGTTATAAAATAAACTTATGGAATGTACTCTTTTTAGAATATCAGTGTTAAAAAGTCTTTACTTCTATTTAAATGGAAATTGTTTTCACGCATCAGCTGTTGAAATCTCTCTGAATATTGCGCTGAGTGCTTCAGTTTTGCAGACTTTAATTAGTGGTAACGGTAGCGTGAACTACTATTTATTTTCCGGCGTCAAGTTAATTGAATTTTCTGCCACGTGAAAAATGTTCACACTTTTAATATTTTATAAAGCTTTCATAAATTTTCCCATGGTAATAAGACGGACGAGATGGTTCATTTGTAAAGTAACATTGACAAATTCCTTGTACATTAATTTCTATTTCAAAATTAAACCTTTACTAATTAACTGTAGAATTACCACTCATAAGCTGTAACCTGTTTACAGCTCAGGAGTGGTAATTTTACATAATACTTTCTATTTACTACTTTTTACTATTACTTATATTTGCCAAGTTTTATTATTGAAATCGGTTAACGAAAAGTGGGTGAAATCCAATAAGCTGGACTCATTTTGCCACCTTTAGAAGGTTTTGCCACCTTTGGAATATTTTCTTTATTATTAGCATAAAAAATGTATACGTGCTAAGACACCTCTTGGCTCCTGTAAACCTATATTCAAGGATCTTGGTTTGTTAACTCTACCTGTCTTGTACAGGGTGTAATCGTTAAGAGTGCCCAGGCGATTATTCCAGAAATATAAGAGATATCAAAAAGCTTTAAACTGATATAGAAAGTACATTACCTAATGTATAAATCGACATCAATAACTTTTAAAAAATAAAACTGGAAATATCCACAATTTTAACATTAAACGCTCCCATACATTTAATAATATATGATATTCGTAGAGGCTTTGACCTACTTTAAGAGGTAACAATAAGTTTACAGATAACAAAACAGCTGTAAATAAAGGAATAAAGCTATCTTTTAATTGAATAAAAATATAATAGCATAGTCAATTATTTGGTCAAGTGTGAGTTGACCATAAAAAATGAATAAAAGTGATCAAATTTTTTTAGTGCTGATCGACTCAGATTCAGGTAAGAATCATTTCACTGTATTGGACGAAAAAAATATTGACATCAACACTCGAAATTACAGAAATCCTACTATTTTTTTAAGTACCTCGGACGGAAAAATATAAACAAAACTGTTTGTGCATGTGTGTCAGAATGTACAATACAGTACCAAATGACATTAAATACTTGCCCATTAAATTATTTAAGACAAAATTATACGAATTGTTAAGGGACAAAGTAAGTACTAGTGTTTCAAATTATTATTATATACAAGAATTTAAATTAAGTAACGTAATAATTAATTAATAACAAACTTAGATAAAATAATTCGATCCGGCTGGATACGAACCAGCACCTTCAGGCAATTCGTGGCAGATGCTCTGCCAATTAAACCACGGAACGAACCAGCAGATCTTACGAATTTTTCTATGTGCTTCTTGCAGATCTTCGGTTTTTTGTTTTAACGACTTTCTTGCTGTAGCGCCTATGAGAATTTATTTGGTAGAGCGCCTGGCACGGATTGCCTGAGGGTGCTTGTTCGAATCCAGCCGGATCGAATTAGTTTTTCTAAGTGTTCGCTCTTTGTTATTAATAATTATAATAAACGAGTAGTGGAGTATTTTCACAAAAATATTGAGTATCGTGGCAGTAAAACATTGTGACATTCAATAACCTTAAAAAAAATACAATTATAGCGACATCTCTAGTCAGCGATGGTAGCTGTCAAGGTGAGTGAAGAGATAAATTTCTCACAGATGGCGCTACGGAAAAAAAGTCGCTAAAACAAAAAACAAAGATCTGCAAGAACCTCATAGAAAAAATCGTAAGGTCGGTTCGTTCCGTGGTGGCTTAATTGGCAGAGCATCTGGCACGGATTGCCAGAGGGTGCTGGTTCGAATCCAACCAGATCGAACGAATTTTTCTAAATGTTCGATCTTTGTCATTAATAATTATAACAAACGAGTAGTGGAGTAAATTCACAAAAAAAAAAATTGAAAATCATGGTAGTAAAACATACTGTTGTGTATTATTGTGTAGTTTTGTGGTCATAATAATCTCAGTAAAGAGTACTAAAAAAACCCACCTCAAAAATACGCGGAATTACATATAATTACCAAGTTTTATTGAAATCGGTTACCGGAAGGTGCGCAAACCCCGATTCATCCCCTAGTTCGCCACTATACGGGACTTGACATAGGAGATAATATAAATCTGTTCTCACTACTCAAAGTATATTGAGAGAGAAAAACGCTTTGAATTGGAGAATAGCAAAATCAACCATTAAAATAATATGCTCCTTATAATAAAATTTAGGCGCTATTTATAAAAATGAATCTTCAGGCGTGAACAGCCACTCTTAGAGGTGGATGATTTTCTTTTATTAAATGGGACCACTATGGAGGTCCCCTCTTTCCAACAAAAAAAAATCATCAAAATCGGTTCACAAATACCGGAGTTATCGCGTAACATACATGCAAAAATAAAAAATTCAGTTGAATTGAGAACCTCCTCCTCTTTTTAAAGTCGGTTATTAATATTTAGAAATGCTCGTTATGTATTAGAAATAAATAGAAATAGAAATAGAAACCATTTATTGTAACGCCACATTATAAAAAAAAACACAAAAACAAAGACTAATATAGCTAGAACAGAAATAACACAACAGCGTAAAAAACATTTAAACAACAAATTACATAATACTTACTATACTGACATGTGTGCGGCTGTGGCGTGTACAAAAGGATCCCATTCGCTAAAGTCACAACCAAGGCTAGGTTGTGACTCTGATTTTCAATGGGCCCTAGCCGAGTGAGTGAGAGTGACGGACGTATGCGTCCCGAAACAGAGAATAAAATAAAATAAACTACGTAAATACTTATCTCATGAGTGTGTATAGTGGTCTTCTTGCAGTGTGTACTCTAATATCGAATAAATACTTACATAATCTTTGCAATATATTCATACAGGTATAAGTGTGTGTAGTGTGATAACAAATTAATAAAATATTTAATACATATTTAAAGTACATTACTTCAAATATATTAAACAAGATTATCTATTTTCGAAAAATAAAAGTTCTTTGACTTCAACATTAAACAACTATTGTTCTTACGCAGTTACTATTTTGAATCATGCTATGTGAATTAACATGTTTAAATGTTTACAATTAAAATATAACTTTATACAATTAAAATAACGTATCACTGTTATAAATATAATTTCATTATCATATTTTATTAGAAGTAATTCAATTGACTCTAAAAAAAATAAAAGATATAGGAGCGCCCTCTCAAGAACCGCCATATTTGACACTAGAAATAAGATGTTGTGAACTTGTGTTCAAGAAGGAAATATTAACGTAGATTTGATTACACATTTACATAAAGATTACATAAAGCAAAAGCTTTTTAGATAGCCGTAATGATCGTAGATATGTAAGTGTGCAAAAGTTTGTTTTATTATTAATTTTTTTTGAAGATTACATAATTTTTTTTATGAGTGATCTCAAACTTGTCGTCAGTCTAAGTTTTGGTGTTGAAAGTATTCAACTTCTTATATGTATGTACAGTCAACAGCACATTAAGCTACACATTGACGTATCTTGTTCCGCTGCGTTCTTGCACTGGAGGCCATTTTCGAACAAAAATGTGTAGTCTGATGTGCTGTTGTCCGTACATCATAGTATATATATACAGGCTTTATTTGGTAATTTTTACTAGGTAATATAATCATTTTTTTGTCGGTCCTTCTAATCTTCTTTAGGGTCGGTTCTTCTAATCGCTTCTTGCTGTTTCTCCCTGTTGCCGATTGTCTGTCTCCGACGTCTTTGTGCCATCCAGAATCGTACTAGTCCAATTTTTTGATGTCAATTACGACACAGTATGCTCATCTTTAAACGTTGAATAGCGTATAAAAGTAATTAGCGTTTTTATTGTAGCGTCGAAAGGAGCGTGGACGCATCGCGACGGAAGCTATCCATACGGTGGAACTTGCTCAGCTCGGCGAGATCAGCAAACAGCTGCCTGATTGCGACGGGGAAAAGAACCCTTCGTATAGGTACCCTTTTCAGGTAACTCCTTTAAAAATATGCTATAAAATACAACGTTGCAAACATGCTAATTGGTTGGTAAATTATAATGAGTAATAGGTTTTTAACGAAGCTTAGGATATCCACAATGTCACCACAAACGTATACTACGTATATTTTTACTGATTATTACGTTAAATCATTATGACAAAAAGTTTGCTATATACTTTTTTCATTAATTTGTGTGTAATAATAATAAGTTAACTTGTACACATGCAGTATACTGTGACTAGAAGTGGCCCAAAATTATTGGAATTTGTGATTTAGTTAGTTTACTCATAACTACATAGTAGGAGGTTAGTGTAGATTTTGAGGTGTGTTGAGGTTGAGACGGGCGGTGTACGCAGGTGGGGTACACAGAGCAGAGCACCGACTACACCCTGTACCTGGTCGCTGACGAACACACCGTTCGTGTTCATTGGATTCACGCGATCAGATCTGGTGCGTATACTGCATACTTCTATAATCTATACAAATTCATCATTTACTGCGTTAGATACTTGAATTTTTAAAATCTGTAATCTACATAATTTCTACACAATTTTGCGGCTTATAACTTGGTTACTTATCTTTATTCACACACGAAAAATATTTCTATAAGTGTCATTGACTGAAACTAAGTCTTTGTCATTGTTATTAAACGTCCACGGTGGTTTTTCTGAGTAATCTTTGCTTCTACCAGTGGTCGAAATTTATTTTTGTGTGATGTCTTGGGCTGTTAGTGCGAATTTAAGAAGGTAAGTGTATATGGTGTGTTGTAGTGTGTATATTGAACGAGCGTCGTGCGCAGTACCACCCGGGCGTTTGGGCGGCGCGGCGTTGGTCTTGCTGCGACGCGGAGAAGCGTCAGGCGCCCGGCTGCGCCCTCGCCGCCGTCTGGCCGCTGCCGGAGCCCCCGCTCGAGGTGCTCACCCACCGCCCGGAGCAGAGGCCCGTCAGTGACGTCACATGTATGTGGCCTTTTTGTACCTGATCACGTACCAAGACAAATGGGTAGTCCCCACGAAATTTTGTCCGTAGTATCCGAATTTGGACGGGGTCTTTCTGGTAATTGAGGTTGGCATCATGTGCGGTCATCGGACATTATTATGGACATTAAATCTGCCGTTGTTACATTTGTTGCGCCTATTAGCTAAAGACTTTCCAAGTGACACGATATCATAACTCATTAATAACGTGTAATAAATTCTACGACTCTAGAATATAATTACTACAACAGTAATAAATACTACATACTGAGGGCGTGGGGACTGTGTTTCAATAGACTCAAAATAAATAGTTCTATCCTTCTGTGATTTTGCAGTTAACTTCAAAAAGTAGGTATACTGGAAAAACACGAATCTTGATTGTCACTATTAATACTGCCTATCGTAATGTTTTGACTTTATTCGCGATTACCCTTGTGTTAATTTAATACTTTATCGATATACATCTATATTTGTTGTCTACTCGGTCTTCTATTGTTAGTATACGAGTATCACCACTTCGTATTTACTTGAAAGATGTATTTTTAGTGGTCTTTGTGTTTATTCCAAAATTTCTTAATGCATCAATGCCACTTTTTGTTTTATCCATATTAGCATAATGTTTTCATCTTTTTTCGTTTCGCAGTCAGAGTAGCAAGATTCCCTTTGTTCAATTCTTAAAATTAACTCATTTCGCTATGCTCATTTGATTATATAAGTAGCGCAACAATACATTGTCTTATTTTTTTTTACCGTTTAATGTAATTAACACCAATTACATTCAACGAATGCATCTGTACATTAAATATTTTAAATTAATGAAAGTATTTGAACATTTTCTAAACCAATATACTCGTACCTACATACAGCTCACGCCCTTGTCCCTCAGTAGGGGTATGCAAAGACCATGGAACGCTACCTTACTCTATCCTGACACAGCTTTCTAGCCTCGCATACATCAACTACCGTTTTCACACAACTTCTTTAATTCTTGTCACTTCGTATCCCAACCTTTTTGAGGACAGTACTGATCTGGTCAAAGGAAGTCCTCGAGACCTCCTCTTAAAATCCTTCCATTCACAAACGCGTCATAAAACTATCTATATATATCTAACTATATACATATATTAAAAGCTAAACCAACAGTGCTAAATAAACTAATCATGAGCTCGTCACACCGTTGGTACGATTGATACGACAATATAATTTTGTTCCTCATTACGATTACATACTTGTGTTTACAATTACTTCCTTCCGTGTGGAATCGTCATCCGTGTAGTTAAAATGTTAAATTTAGTTTATTTGTGTACAAAGACATGGAAAAATATAAATACTAGCCTCTGGCGCAACAGAGTCAGGCTCCTACAGAAGGCTGTCTGCTATATACTTTATTCTCTACATAGGCGAATCGTTTTGTCGTTACTAACGTAGATTCTTCCGTCCCTTATCGACTCTACCAATAACGGCTAAGTGCGACGGAGAAGGTGGACCGCCTGCGCGCGCGCACATCGAATAGTGAATGTAGGCCGCGTGCGACCATCTTTGAAGCCCTCGCTCGCCACCTCGTCTCGCCGAACGTAAAGGTTAGGTCTACATGGAACCTATCGCTTTACTTTGGTTTTAAATATCACCAATAATGTATTATTATTTTATACATAAATTAATTATAACTGTATGAAAATAAAATTGTGCCATTAAAATTTTGGAAATATTTTTGTAATAATATTTTTGTATTCTACACTAAACTAAATTGAAATACTGCTCCGATTGATATCATCCAGCTGTCACACTCCATTAAGTTTGTTAATGGTTGCGAAAAGTGATTAACAAAGTGTATTTGTTATCTTGACATCTTACCGTATCGATCGATGGGAGGCTGTATTGGCGTCATTGTGGAGAGCGCCTTGCCTTTGCGGTACATTGACACGTTTAGTCGACAGTCGGGGCCAGGTGTCGCGCGCGGAAGTCCGGCGCTGTATCGTCCTCATGCTACCGAATAAATCGGAAGACGAACCAATGGTTACCAAGAAGAAATCCAAGATACCATGTCTGTCACTATCATCCTTCCTGCCAGCGTTAGAGGGTACGGAACATTTCGGTTGACCTCTATTCGTGGCCTCGCGGCCACCGGTTGCGTTCACTCGTCTCGTTGCACTCACTTTCTTGTCCAAGTCAGGTGTAAAATTTGTGTGTAGCTCTTAAACAGTGATATTGTTCAGTGATTCAACTACTAAATTGGTGTTTGTAAAGTTGCGCAGTGTTGTGTTGGCAGAGTAAAATGGCATCATAATTTTTTGTGTTGTCTATCGATTTCATAGACTACAATAAAATTAACGTCTCGATCTGAAGGTGATCGAACATTTTGTGAATTTGTTTGGTTTCGTTTCTATAATATTCCTCGTTGTTTATCATATCATCAGATATTATTTTTAAGTGGAAATCCGATTACAGCAAAGAGGGGACTGATAGTTGTTATTGACCCATTGTATTTTCCTGGTTTGGATAGGCATAAATACCAATTAGTAATATTAACCGCATAAGGTATTTACCTTTTTTCCTTCATTTCCGAATGTAGCGTCGCGACGGCAGTACATGTCGCGTTCCGTTACGGTACACTAGTTGACAGTAACGTCTAACAACTGAGCTCTGTAGAGCTAGTGCTTCATATAAAAAGTGTTTTTTGTGGACCACAAGTATTTTGTCGAAATATAATGCTTATAAAGCGGCCGCCATTAAGTAATTAAATTTCATAGTTTAAACTGTTACTAATCATTAAGGAGAGTGTATGACGATATTAAATATTCGTGTGGTTGCAGCGGTCACTGCTGCCGTCACGATGCCCGGGGGAGGTGGCGCGCCTCCCGGCACTCCGTCGGCGAAACTCAAAGTGAGCATTCACTTAATTGAACCCTCTACATTCGCCGTTGCAGGCTTACGTAAGCTTAGAATACCCTCAAACTAGAGACTTTACATTTTCAGGAGAAACCGAGATCCAAAGTTGTGGTAGCTCTATACTCATTTAGAGCTGTTGAAAGTGGGGATCTTTCTTTAGAAAAAGTAAGTAGATATTTACGTACTTTTTTTTAACACAAACGCTGTATTTCCTCCTGCGCGTTAGATGTTTGGATTTTCCACCAAGGAAGTTGAAGCTACATCTCACTAAGAACCATCCGACACTATAATTAAAAGGAAAATGCAACTTATTCATTTAATCGCGTTTGTTCCCGAGTTATTGTTAATTTTACTAGAGATGTAGGAAGTACAATGTATGAAATGTTTTAGTGGCACTGAACTTTTATTGTACATTAATTTATTTCACATAATTTTGAAATTAATTTATTACACATAAATTTGTAACTACTTGATGATAACATTTCATTACTCAAATATATTAATCATTAAATTCTTCCCCGTCACCTCTTTTCCGAAGTTTAACATGTTCTTTTGTGCTTCAACTTAGAAATTCATATTTCTGGACAACATAGTATATTAGATAATACGTTTTGAAATATTTTATTTGTATGAGTAATATTTAAGGAAAAAAACCTTGAAAAATTGGCTAAGATTTAAAAAATAAATTAAAATGTTTTGTCAAACTATTAAAAAACGAGCTGAGATAGTTATTGTTAAAGAGAACGAAATCCTGGGGAAATTGGAATACCCGGCCAACCAAACAGACTTTAAAATATATTTCCGAAATTGATGTCACTGGAAATCCAACCCAGGACTTCATGTAGTCCCGGCGAGTGTTTAGCTGTTGAGCCACCTAGGTCGTCGGGATACTAAATGGGTTTTTACCCTGTATTTTTTATGTGCAGGGTGCAGAATATGAAGTAATAGATGATTCCCAAGAGCATTGGTGGAAAGTTAAAAATGAACATGGGTAAGAATAATTTTATCTCGGTAAAAGAATTTACAGGCATATTTTTAAACAACCACTTATGGCATTCCTACACTTAAAAGAAATAACTTTCATTCTCCTTCTCTTTTTTGTACGTTAAAATTAAAATACAAAGAAAAAGAAGAGGAATACATGTTGTTTGCTTTTCTTATACAGGGTGTAACGGAATAGGTATACCATCATAGATAGATTAAATATGGCTTTGATATTTGTATACTTTTGGTCTTATGTCGCCAAGTGAACGGTAAAGAAAAAACAGTGGATAAATCCACTTCTCAATTGTTATAAATGAAATACATAGTATAAATTGCATTATAGATCCATTGGATACATACCCAGCAATTACGTCAAGGAAAAGGAAACTATAGGATTACAAAAATATGAGTAAGTACTTTGTTAATTTTATTCTATATAAATATTTTTCTAACCTAAATAAAATTATATAATTAAATTTAGATTAATTTTTGGTGTGAAACAATAGTAAAATGTGTATTACTGAATTAAGTATTTCTTAGTGTATATTATGATAAAAACATTTTAAACATTACTTTGACAAGTATTAAAATAGTCAATTTCAGATGTTATGTATCATTCATTACACATTTGAAATTGACTTAAGAGTAGATAGAAATAAGGGCCAATAGAAAATTGGCTCTTACAGGAAGGAAACTTGTAGTTTTTGACATCATACTAAGAATTACATTATTAATAGAATAATAATAATGTAAGTTTATTTAACTAACACATTCACTGCTCTCAGTGAATCTTCCTCTGAAGGATCACTAAATATTCACAACTATGTTTCGTATCATTTCATCAGCCATGAATTTGAATAAGATTAAATGGATCTTTTGAGAAACATTTTCTTAAATGTTACCTTCCCAGAGCATACCATCACAGTTAGATGGTAGTACGTCTGCTATTGATAAGATTCAAGACGAACTAATTAGACAATAATCGAGAGTGCCTGTTTCGAGCTCATGCAAGCGCATTTTGTTCATTCTATAGGCAGCACTACATAATACGTGCAATCGAACTCGCTCTCTGGACGACAGGTTACCGGAGTAGCATAAAAATTAGAACCAGTAATGTCAGCATTACTGTGTTCCGGTTTTTAAAGGTAAGGGTGCTGGTGAAATTACAGGCACATGAGACTCTTCAACTTATGTCTCAGGGTGACGGGCGCAGTGGCAGTGCCCCTCAGATCTTTGCGATTTAAAGCTCTGAGTGACGCTGCAATTGTTATGAACGGGCGTGTAGCTTACCATCAGGCGCACGACTTGTTCGTCCCGCCACTTGATATTATAAAAAAATAATTGTGCCCTAAATATTGATAGTTGACACTAGACGAAATTAGTTCGTTAAAATTGTGTAACTGTCGTGATTCCTGGTCTAACTTTATAGCTTTTTGTACTATTTTGACACTGTACAAACCATTATTATTAATAAGTTTTAGTTTATATTATTTCAAATTCCGCTGCTGCTTATACTGAATGTTACAATTTTAGATGGTATGTGGGCGACATGTCGCGGCAACATGCTGAGTCTCTGCTCAAGCAGGAAGACAAGGAGGGCTGCTTCGTCGTCCGTAACTCGTCCACCAAAGGAATGTACACACTCTCTCTATTTACCAAAGTGTAAGTTGCTTTACATATCTTTGCACATCGTCATAGAAAGCCTAATTTTTACAATGTTTATTCTCATTTTTTAGTTCAAAAAGTACAATTATATATTTTATCCATATTTTAATATCGCGTGCGCTGTATGAGCGACGAGCTTATATTTTAATACATTACTCTAGGAATGTTATAGTTAAGTGAAATGTTTATATAAAATGCACGTTATACCATCGGTATGTTGAATTGAAAGAAATTATATCGATATTTATTATATCGAATTATACTTATATTATACGAGAATATTTCACGTCTTTATACCGTTAAATAAATCATATCTCTTTAGCGTAATTATGACCAATGATATGTCATTTGTTGTAATATTGTGTGAAAGGCGCCTATGGATGTTATTCTCAAACTTTATAAATCTTTAAAAAACCAAGTGTGTAAATGCTTAATATTTATTTTTCTAACCTGCAGAAACCACCCTCAAACAAAACATTATCACATAAAGCAAAACAGTCGCGGAGAGTTCTATCTGTCAGACAAACATTGCTGCCCAGGCATACCGGAGTTGATAAACTATCATAAACATAACAGCGGGGGCCTTTGTTCGCGGCTCAAAACTACGCCATGCGATCGGCCGGCGCCACCCACTGCTGGATTATCACATGGTGAGTACAGTTATAATTTCATATTTACACACATATGAAAAACACAATCCTTCTTTTGGCTGTCTCGATTCGATAACAGTTTTGTGGTTCGGCAATGGAAGTGTGTGCGACTTGTAAGCAAGAACTGACTTTATTCTCCGAGTGTAAATTGAGGCCATGAGAACCATAGTGGCCTAATTCAATGGACAAGCCATAGTGGCCTATCTTACTTAGGCCAGTATGGCACCTCAAATTTAGATCACAGACTAAAAACCATAACAATGATTATGCTGCCATCTAGTGAAAATTCGTTGTATCACTTTTAGGCCTTTCTGGTTCTATCAAAATGATCAATTTGAACTGGAAAAAATCATAAACTCAATATTGTAAAAAAATGAGTTAGGCCGCTATGGTTCTCATGGCCTCAATTATGATATACGTATAAATTATTTATTCCTAGCTTTAACGATAAATGTCAGCGTGTTAGTGTAAGTTTGATAGATATAAAAAATTCAGCAAATAACAATATTTTATATTTATGTTTTTTATTGCCCAAAACATGACATTGTTAAAAAAGCAAGTGTAGGAGAGAGTGGCAGCAGTTTGATATACATAAAATATATTTGATGGCCAACCAAAAAGTTGGCAACTTTGCATTATAACACCTCCCGTAACGTGGGCATCATTACTTTACACCAATTGCTTGTGTTTGGTCCAGTGGCTAGGTAAAAAAAACATCAGCTACAGATATGGAACGGTCACTTCACACTTCTACTATATTTATTGCCTGCTAAGGCCTATCACGCTAAGAAAGTTTTATTTCTCAATAATATTGTGATTACAGATAAATGGGAGATTGACCCTTCGGAGTTAGTGTTGTTGGAGGAATTGGGTGCTGGTCAGTTTGGCGTAGTGCGGCGCGGGAAGTGGCGCGGCAACAAAGACATCGCCGTCAAGATGATGAAGGAAGGCACTATGTCCGAGGACGACTTTATTGATGAGGCGAAAGTTATGACGTGAGTTATCCTATTTCATAGGAATAGTCAATTTGCTTTCTCATTGACCTACCAACAAATGGACGACGGGTCTAATACAAAAACCACGAAAAAAATGTCCGAAGTCAACCCATACCAACGTAGTGACATGTAACGAAATATAAAGAGAACTAAAACATTTAATTTAAATTGCGACTTCATTGCAGTACTGCCTAATTTTGCTAGCAACAATTTAAAGGACCAAAAACACCATATTCAGCTTCTACTGGAAACTTAAACTAAATGTACCATGTTTCGACTGAAAATTACTTGAACACAAGAGTAATGGAGCAGCCTTTATTGTAAATATTAATTCATTTTTATATAAATAAATAACACGCACACACTCAGAGTGCCATGGACACACGCATAGACAATCACAAATTACACCCAAACTCACGAGAGAAATAAATGTAGGCCATACAAATATTTCTCCCGGCACGGGAATCGAACCCGAGACCTTTTGCGTGGCAGTCCAGCTTGGTAACCGTTCGGCCACGGAGGCAGCTATATATTATTATGTTGAATTTTGTACAAATTCATTAAAAGTAATAATAAAGGGTTGGGCAGATACTTACATACAAATATTATAAATGTGAAATAAGCATGTATTATAAGAAATGTACCGATATTCCAACTAAACGTAAACTCAAATATCCGTAATTCCGAAAACCGATTTATAATATAACCGTTACGCTTTTAAGTAATTTTGATGCTTTTCACGAAGACAAAATTAGCTTTTGTTTTGCAATATTCCTAAAAAAACAATACATTTGACATTATGAAAATACGAGCTAATGTTATTTCGGGCAAATGTATTTTTTGACTTGTGATAGGTCATCCCAAGCCGTAAAACAAGTACAACAATATTTTGTTACTTATTGCTAACATTTAATAAACATTCGTTTTAAAAATAAGATTAAAATCAAAGCGACTCTATAGTTTCTTTGTTCTAAATATTTCAATCGCTTGTGGTTCGAAAAATGATCAAGAAGTTTATATAAGCTTCTTGAAATTGACGTAATGGGTCTCTTTCCATCTTTTGTACATGCAATGTGTAGAAAAAAGACAGTTAGCTATTTGATTATTTTGTTTCCATTTGTAATTTATATTTATGATCCATTTATTTATTATATATAAATTAAATATTATACAACTGTACAAAATAACACTTTGAAATGATGGCTATGATAACATATATATATTTGTGTAGTGAAAATATGATACAAAATTCTGTTTTTACACTTTACTGCAGTAATTTTTACAAGTTATTATTATATAGTACTACACGATTGACAACCGCGTTGTCAGTCGTACAAACGAAGACTGTTGCGCGATTGACGCTGTATATGCGATTTTAACGCCCTATAGGTGCGATCATTTTTAGCGCGAACCCGACGTCTATTTGTTGGTAGGTCAATGCTCTTTCTATACGTATAATAATCTAGGATGATCCCTGTGACAGTTCATAACAATCTACACAATATAACCTTGTAACGACGTGCACTAATTTACCTATTTCATAAACGATTTTTATATGCATCGCTTTTTAATGAATAGCTTTTGTTTAAGTAATTACATTAAATTAAAGTAAAAATAACACCAACCCCCGTAGCATGTAAATTAGATCTGATTGAGACAGTCAATAGCGCGCGCTTATTCCAATTTTATCATGCGTGTCGTGACTATCATGCGTAGCCATGCTCCGGAGGCAATTCTATGTATATTTGTGAAAAATTAACGGAAAACAAATTTTTTCACAAAAATTCATTATTTTTTTACGACAACGTGCAAAGGTTACTTCATTACAGTGCACTTGCTAGAGATGAGGATTGATAGAAAGTTATCGATAATTTAATGAATAAATGCGTAGTTCGGGTATTCATTATTAGTATGAATTTGAATAATTGGCAATTAATTAACATGTCAGTGTTATTACTTTTTTGAAACCAGTAAATGAATGATAATACGATAAGTGTTTTTTTAATTTTCCAAAATATCCACTGAAATTGAATTAGAATTATAGTTGTGTGTTTTATGCATCGTTCTGAACCTGAGAACTTGTGATTCAAAAATCAAATACACTGAAAACTGTCGACTTTACCTCATCCCTATTACAAACGCCAAATGAAATGTCACAACGTTTAGTCTGTGGGGTACTGACAGGTACAGCTGTCAAAGTATCAAAAATGTTTATTAACAGATCACTATTTTGCTGACATAGGCAGTTGATATGGCGGTACCACTCCTGGTGATGTTCATAATGATAGCCCATATTAAGTGGTTCTAAACCATGCAACGTCGCGTACTAGGAGAATTATACTTAGACCGAAATATTAACGTTGTCATGACGACGACGTTGCGTTCGAATTGTCTCGTACGTTGCCACAGTACTGACATCAAGTCGCCGAACTTGGGACCTTAGTGGTCCTCAGTGGCTCAATGGCTTGCACTGTGGGCGTTGGATGAGGAGGTATCAATTCCCAATAGGACCGATTTGGGAAATGCAGTTTTCTAAATTGGTTCTGGGTATTCAGGGTGTATTTATTATTTTATATAGTATTATTTCTTTATGGCGACCACTAGGCTTGTGTCAGTGTCAGTTTTATAAGAATAATATAAAAATTATGGCTACCATCGCCAGTTACATAGTACAAGAAATGACCTAGTTTGAGACCAGGTAATTGGTGTGATAGGCTGGCATGTTATTATTACACATAACTCATAACTTATGACTTTTTAGAATAGAGACTTTCAATTCGTGGTATGCCCTATGTTTTATTCACAAGCAAATTTAGCATTATCTGAAGGCAGCTATGTATGAAAAATAAAAACTATATTGGTATAGCCTACTATTCTCGAAAAGCAGTGCAGACCAGAACATTAATTGACGTGATTAACACACATGACTCAGTGGTGCCCCTAAATAACAGAGGTCGTTGACACATATATCTGCTATATGAGTATTGTTTCTTTGATTGTAGCAAACTTCAACACCAAAATCTGGTGCAGCTATATGGCGTGTGCTCTAAGCATCGGCCGATCTATATCGTGACAGAATTCATGCGGCATGGCTCGCTCTTCAACTACTTAAGACGCACCTCGCCTGATCAGCTTGGACCTGCTGTTTTATTGGACATGTGTATACAGGTTAGTTCCAAATTCCATTTTAAGTTAAGTTTTGAGTACTGTCGGTTTAAAAATAGAGTTAACTAAAAACAAAAAAGCAGAAGTACAACTTGAGTCACTAGTCGGGTTCGCGTCACTGAAAGGGTTGAATTCATGTGTGCACTCCCATGTTATATTATTAAAAAAAACATGTTACGCCTAGTTTACTCTATTGGAGTGCATTTGAGTACATGCATGATATACTTTCAATATGTTTGTATGCGTAATGTTTGGCCGGACACAGTGCTTATTTTTAACCGACTTTAAAAAAGGTGGAAGTTCTCAATTCGACTGCATGTTTTTTTGTATGTATGTTACGCGATAACCTACGTGAACCTATTTTGATGATTCTTTTTTTTTGATGGATAGACCTCAGCAGTGGTCCCATTTAAATTTGAGATTTTTTTGTACTCTGTACTGAGATTATGTACTTGTCAACTTTTGTATAACCTGTTTTCACAAATAAATGTACTTTGAAGTAAAACCTAGTAAAATAATTCGCTTTCACTTGCTATGTTGACTGTGAGTTGTAGTTTAAACTAGTTGTATTTTTTTAAAGCTGGTTCTTGTCAGAATCTGAACCTGTTACAGTTAAACCTTTTCAAAGAATGAGTTTCCGTATAAATAGACACAAATGATGTTCAAATGTAAATAAATACAGAATTGAAATTCGTGGCAAAACAAAATGTCACAGGTATTTTGCTAAAGAGTAACAAAGTGCCAGCTCTTCACTGAATTTAACAATTAATGTTCCTACATTATTAACTTCGGCGATATTGTACAGAACGCCCAGACCTGAAATAATTTCGAAAAATAGTTTTCCTAAATGAGTTCTACTGGGAGCCAAACTCTGACTATGACGTCCAGAGCTCTGGGGCCTTGCCATGAACTCTTATTACGATTCAGTTTAGGACCTAAAATGAATCGTTGTTAAACGGCGTTACATGAAGTGTATATTACCATCCCGCTTTTTTCTCGTTACGAACCTACACTGCACTGTAATAAGAGTTCATGTTCAATAAGGCCCCAGATCTAATACACTTATCTATTTACAGGTGTGCAGAGGAATGGCTTATTTAGAAAGACATAATTACATTCATCGGGATTTAGCCGCAAGAAATTGTTTAGTTGGTGATGAAAACGTAGTTAAGGTCAGTTGAATGTTGAATTAATATTATCCGAGCAATTATAGTAATCGAATAATTGTATTACTTGAAAAATTCACTACTGTATCAAGAATGACGTAAATATTTTTTTTTGTTCTCCTTCGTTCCGCATGGAACAGGCGAAGGTCAGAGACCATACTGCCTAGTCATTAGTTTCTCGCAATGTTTTATTTTTATTGATTATCATGATGTTTTTACTACCATGATATTCATGTATATTTTCTGTAAATACTATACTATACTCTGTCCAACCATTTATTTAACTTTTGACAGCTCGAATTCTAATCAATTAATAATGTCCCAATGCGTTTCCGATCCGATTTTTTTGTAACGATTGATTTTATTTATGAAGAAGTTTTAATCGTGAATGAAGATATTGTCTGATTGGAATCGTGATGTTGCGTTTTACAATTTGTGTACTCGAGAATTAATAATTAATGTTAATGAGGATTCAAGTGATGATTCCAGTTCATATGGTGAAGAATCCGACGATTCATTATAATAAACAATAAGAATATATTATAATTATTTATAATTTATTTCATTTCATTGTAATTTATTAGACATATACCAAAAATTATCAACTTGAATAATCTTCGTTACATAATCTGTTGGCTCGATAAATATCGGAGCTAAAGAGTACGTCGCTTCACTAAAATTAAAAAATATCTTAGTATATCAATAATAATTACGGAACTTCGGAGGAATATGTAAGTCAAAAATTAAATAAACGGTTGGACGGAGTATAGTTTGTTATTACAAAGAAAAATTCTTTCGATCCGTTTGGACTCGAACAAGAGGTTCTGTTGCCTCTAGCTACGTTGAGGCAACAGACGCTGGTTCGTCGCAGTCAGATCGAAGGGATTTTTCTTCGCATAGGTTCGATCTTTGTATCAATTATAATAACATATAAGTTATTTATTAAACTTAAGTTGATTGTTAATTGAAAGCAACTCTAAGTCAAAGAAACTCATTTAGCACGAATGCCAACGGACTTAAATGACATTACATTTATAAATTTGTAATAACTTACTATTACAGATAATACAGAATACTATAGACAACATTACGTACACACGACATAAAAATCATTGCTGACTGATATTGTGAATAAATTGCAGGTGGCGGACTTTGGTCTGGCGCGATACGTGCTCGACGATCAGTACACGAGTTCTGGTGGCACAAAGTTCCCTATAAAGTGGGCACCGCCCGAGGTCCTCAACTACACACGATTTTCCTCTAAATCCGACGTCTGGGCTTTTGGCAAGTATTTTTTTCTTTAGTAATTCTGGCGCATCTGCACTGGGTCGTCTGCCGCCTTCGGCAGACTACTTCGCCTTGCCGAAGACGACGCAGTTGACTCGCTGTTTACACTGAGTCGCCTTCGCTTGCAAAAATTCCCCACATATGGTGGGGTGGAGCGCGGCCGCGGACACGTTGAAATCAGTTCGGTTGACAGTCGCTTGCGGTGACTGTGTCGCCCATAGCGTTTACACCTAGTCGTTTCGCTCGACTTCGGCTGCGAATTACGGTCGTCAGACGACTCAGTATTTACACCGGGTAGCTTGCCGCCTTCGGCGGGCAAGCGAAAGTCACCTTTCGACTTGTAAATAGTATGGTGTTATTAATGCATCTCATTGTAGTCGGCTTATCTCTAAGGACTGGTAGTCAGCCACGCCAATCTGGGTTCAGACAGAGTTTCGTGAACCGGCTTTGGCAAGCAAAGTTCCAAGGCGACTGTTGTGTTGATAAATTTTCAACAATAATTAGGATTTGAAGCAACATTATTTTGGATTTCTACGTCCGACTGGCAGTAACGGACGTCATCTCGGAGGAAGTAATACAGTACGATGTTGTTCTTCGTCCCAGCTCCGCCAATTATTTTACTTACCTTTTATGTTAATGTATTTAGATAACTTTATTTGATTTTTAATTCGGGACTTAATATTATAAAACATTTTTTAATTACCTCGACGTTTCGGACGTTTTGCAACGTCCGTCTCGAAGTCTTGAAGGGACTGAAGGGTGGGTGTCAGCATCTTTTAGCCGTGCGAGTTTTTCTAACTACCCGCAATTGATCTTCATTATTTATTTGTGCACTAGGGTTCTCAACAGACCGACACAACACTCACGACATCCGGCCACTTGTCGGGCGATACTTGATGTCGTTTACATTTGCTGATAACTGGATCCCATGACGATGAAAGCTTAAAACCGTTTTCTCAGTTGAAATCATGGTGTTTTTAATTTCAATTTCTTCACGTACGATTCTACTACAGTACGATTTCTATGTCATGAAAGAGAAGATATAGAAAGATATAAATAGAAGGCATAGAAAGGATCATGAAGCTCAATCCAGTGCTTTGGTCCTGATTCCTGCAAATGCTCGGTTATTACAGACTTATTGACCTGACGGTTCTTAACAGCCGCGATGTGTTCTTTAACCTTTTCCGCTATGGTGCGTTTTGCCTGTCCAATATGGGAACTCCCACAAATGCAATCAATCTTGTAAACGCCCGGAGATTGAAGGGTGATCTGACATGCCCCGCGACCTTAGATAACGGCGTAAACACAGTTTTATAGAGTATTTTTTTAGTACTGTACCGATTTTGTCCGTTATTCCTTTCCCGTAAGTCATGCACGTTGGTTGCCTTAAAACGTCAGGACGTTTCCCTTTAGCTTTCCGCCGTGATTGCCGTCTGTTCACTCTGTACCCGTTCTACCTAAGGACCTTCTGAACATGGGATATCTCATTCTCCAAGAGTTATATTATATTGGATATTAATCCAATAATTAAATTCCATTAGGAATTGAGGTGCAGTTGTAATTTCTCAATTTCCCTTTCACTACCCTTCATAATGCAGAAAATATCATCAACATATCGTTCCTGATCTCTGATGACTGTCCTTATACGGTGAGTGACCTTGGCAGTAGCGTTGTATGAGACAGGCTTATATACGAGTGTTATTTAATAAACTTGTATTTTGCTATCGTAATCAGCAGAGTCTATTACCACAGTGGTATTTCCGTTGTCAGCCCTAAGAACCAGGATATCCTCGTTTTTCCTTAGGTCCTCATGAGCTGACCGCTCTTCTGCAGTGACATTACTTGTCGGTAGCCTCGCTTTTCTGAGAATAACCGCAACATCCTGTCCAAACACCTCCGCATCACCAGAAGGCACCCTGTTCCGCGTTATTGCTTCTTCCACTCTACTGATTACGGTCTGATACGGAACTCGTTTAGGTGTCAAAGCAAAATTCAACCCTTTCTCCAGTACACTTACTATCGCATCTTTCAAGATAGTGCGGGACAAATTTATAAGTGTTAGGTTTAGCATAGCGACTTTCACTCGGATTCACGTTTTTTCCGTTACGAACAAGCAACTTGTCATATTTCTTTTTATGTAACTTTACTTTGTTGTTTAGGTGTTTTAATGTGGGAAGTGTTCACATGCGGGAAGGTGCCCTACGGCCGCATGAAGAACTCTGAAGTCGTGGATATGGTGCAAAGAGGGCAGGTGCTCGAGAAACCAAAAGGATGTCTGCCTGAAATTTATAATGTAAGTTTGTATTGCAGGTTTACAGTTTAAAATAAAAATACAATGAAGTGTGTGCATAAATTACTACTGATTTGTCATCTGCCTTTACATTTACATTTTAGTGCACATGTTTTGGCGCGTATGTTTAGGGGATGTATTCTACATAAAACAGTAATATGATGAAAAGGACTTCCTTCAGTGACGTTAACTAGTAATGACCTTGTTACACGACAGGTCATGCGGGAGTGCTGGCGACACGCACCTGAGGATCGGCCGTCGTTCCGCATGCTGAAGGAGGAGCTGGCGGGCGTGGCGCAGAGCGTGCTGGCCGATTGACTGCGCCTGCTGCTGTCGCTGCTGCGCCCCGCGCCGCCTGCGCCCGCGCAGTCGCCGTCGTCGACCGCGTCACTGCGCCCCTCCCCTGCCGCACACCCCCCTCCCGCCACCACACTGCCCCGCGCGCGTCGTCTACACGCCGCCTCACCCGTTTGATACTATGCCCGCGCAACACTGCTCTATCTCATGCTCAAAACATGGACGGACTCCTGAATGAACATACTACTTGCAAACACGTTTACTTGGAGTGGAGTGACGATGATTTTGAACTCGTCAACCCCACTTGCTCCGTCCTGTTCTTCTACATTCCTATCACTGACGCGGCAGCAGCGAAAACAGCCCGATAATCGATACTTGTGACTGGCTGGAACCATGTACGACTGACTGATTTCGTATAACTATTGAAAATTCTAAAGCAAGAAACTAATCGATTTTATAAGAAACGTCGTTCAAACCGGCATCGAAAGTAGACAATAAACGGTTACCGGACTCACAATGGAATTAGATAAATGGAATTGACATTAGAATCCACATTTTAACACTGATACAAGTAGCACCATCCATTGCCGTTCTATCTTACTACAAGATATTGATTGGCTCAAAGGGTCCTATTATGTTATTTAGACTGTATGGTAATGTGGTAGTATTTTGTATGGGGATTGGTAGTATTGAATTTGTAATAGGACCTCAGCACGGCTGTATCATCCTAGACACAATTTTAGAAAAACAGTGTACAGGATTTGCTACAAATAATGAATTAGCTAGATATTAAGCAGTCTTAATAATAAATCAGCGCTATGCAGCTACTATTCGAATGTGATTCATCTGACACTTATAGGCCCATGTTAGTGGAAATGGATTCCACGGATAAGCTCGCTAATTAGTTCTGTAATCTCAGCTAAAACGGTGATCTTAATAGTTTTATGTCATCATATCATTATCTATTATAGGCATTAAATTATGTATGAATAATATAGCTACATAACGTACTAGTCGCTATACGAGATGACGATTTTCCACATTTACACTTAGTTCATAATTTCTTACGCACAATATTCATAAACAACTTATTTAAAATATTGGAAGTCACTGCTAACGAATTATTAACTAACTAAACAGACTAAACAATAACAATACATATTCGACAAAGACTACTAACATTTCTTCACCAATTTTGTGATAAACACCAAATACGTTTTCCTAAAAGCATTTTTATTGATAGAAATTAAACATATTTCCATTAAATAGCATATCATGCGTGCCTTATTCCAGTGTAACCATGATCGAGGTTTTGAAATTTGGCCAGTCAGAAAAAAAGTCATTTAGTTGGTTTTCGTCGCAAAGGACTTGATTTAGTTGACGTATCAAATTTATAAAGGTATTTTACTGTCCACTCTAGAACAAGCTTATTCTAGCGGCACTGTTTTCAATCTAGCTTAAATAGTCGCAAAATTTTAGAATTAGTCGCTCCTTTGTTTACAAGATACAACAGATTTACTATCTCCAGGTTATACACGTGTTAGTCCAGGAGGCCATATAATTATGTACATATTTTGCAAAGATAGTCATATTCTCAGTATTGTTAACTTTTTAAAATACATTCTACATTTAAGGTTTTAATCATTTGTAGTTTTTAAATAACTTAGCAAGCGAACAAAAATATACTGTTACTGACGTTATGATTTAAGAACTGACATGATGTTTATTAGCGTCAATGTCGTGTTGGGCTCTCAGCCTACCCTAGACGAGCGAGTCGCGTATTGTGCAGTTACGTATAACTATTGCTCGAATAAATGAAGGTCATTTTGAACTACAAATTGGTATGAGGTTTAAATGCAGTAAGAAACAATTGGAACGGAGGCCTTCCTTAGACACATTTTTTATCGTGTATAATTTTTCTACGTAAGTTTACCTATCAATGAACTACTTTTAATCTACGATTTGAATGGTTTGGTGATGAATAGTGACCAGTAAAACACCCTTGTACTTTTGAGGTGATGGACCGACTACATCTAATTTTTTGCGACTGAAACCGAAATCTAAATTACGACTTATTACCTGAGTAGTCACGTCAGTAATTTCTGTTCGCGATTATGGCCACCCTGGAATAAGCCACGCCATATCATTGAAAGTTAGTATTGTTTAATGTGCCGTATTTATTATACCTTGATTAGTGTAGATAGATTTTATTTTCTTTTGTGATTTGCATTAAAACTCTGCACACTTGTTGCAAAATTGTAATTCTACAAAAATATTGTTTTAATATTAACCAGCAGTGACAAAAACGTGCCAATTATTATATTCCACGCAAATAGAAATCTACTTTTTATAGATTTGTACGGTAGACATTATTTAGGCGTTTGACTGAATGAAAATGTTTCAATGTATTATTATTTATTTTACTATGAAAACAGTATTTGTGACGACTTGATGAAACATTTTGTCTCCTAACAATAAAGTCAATACGTCCAATTGTAATTTTTGGATGGATATGTTCAAGGTGGATTTTATTTTAGTTATTTAAGCTGTAATTGTGTTTGTGATAAATATGCGAGTACTTGGTCATACAAAGTTTTTCATTAAGTTTAATTTATCGTCGATAACTATTTTCGTGTTTTAATTAATCGAATAAAATTTAAACAGTACAATGTATAATTTCGTTGGACCATGAATGTTCAAATAGAATAATTTGCTTCCTTGTACAGGATTAATTTGTAACTATTTTATAAATCTATTAAGTCAAGTAAAATGATTGTAAAATTATTATTGGTTATTTTATTAACTTTTAAACTCCATAGATCTCGCAGATCATAGGATTGTATCGGCCCATATGATGATAACCTCTGAACTATTTTGATGGCGTAGCATGATTGATGATGATTGCTGCGTGATCTGATCTGATCTGCGCGATGATTAGACTCACTGCGCTTACGGAGTTGATTCTTTCAACTGCCGCAATCCGACGAAACTTATGTACGTGGTTGCCGCGTGCTATTGTTGATCTGCGTACAATTTATCGTGCAGTTGGTAAATGATAGCCGGAGAGTCAAAAACAGCAATTGATATCAATAATAGACGATACACGCTGTACGTTATACAAATTGCTTCCATGTGTGCAGTTCACGCTATCAACGCGCGCCCTTTGCAATCCGTCTGTTTACACCCCTACGTAATGAATTAAAAACCAGACATGCTTACCAACATTTATTTACTTTTTGTTATTTTATTTCTTACGTCTTATTATATTATGCATCAAAGTAACAGGAATTATACTAAACTAATAAATAGACTATGCAATACAATCTCCATAAAAAGGAATGTCGTTTGACAACAAGTAAATTAAATAAATTGAGGCAATAATTAATCCAAGAACATGTTTTTGTTCTTGGCGGAGCATTGATGTAGTTACTGCATGCATGAAAGCGTTTATGTAGTTACTGACTACTAGTTATTAACGACAGTTTGGTTATCAACGATCCATCAAGATGACAGATATTATATCAACTCGCCCGCCTCTAGTTTACGTTTTGACTAAGTATAAATGCATTAAAGTAGGATAATATTTTCAATTCCTAAGTAATCTCATTTCAAAAACAATTTGTGACATTATCATCATCACTGCCCCTTAACACCCACTGCTGGGTATAGACCTCTTTTGCAGGCCAGCTCACTTGGGCCTGTGCGAGTCTCATCCAGTCTTCCGGCCACCCCGACGATATCTTCCGACCATCTAGCAGGTGGTTTACTTTGAGGACGTGTCGCTCCTATAGGGTACCACTCAGAGCCGTCTTGGTCCATCGGTCGCCGTCCCGCCTTGCAACATGTCTTGCCCATCTCCATTTTAGGCTCGCGATCCGCATACCGACGTCTAAGACTTTTGTTCGCTGTCGTATCTCCACGTTGAATATACTTATGTGGCATAAAGTAGGAAAAAACATCACAATTATCAATTATGTTATGTATGATCAACTGTGATGACAGATGGAATAAAGCACTAGTGGTTAAAACGTGGTTACATAAATGTGGGACGTCCTGGAGCGACAGCGGCATAGGTAGACGACATTGACAAAGTCGGGGGGTCTGCTCTTGATCTTCGTACGACATCCGTCCTTAACAATTACTGCCAAATAAGCAATACTTGACCAAATGAAAAGACGCGTGATGCGAATGAATCTTCATACTTGACACTTGTCTTTTGATTTTGTCGAATATTACTTATTTGACAGTAATTGTTTCGGACGGATGTCGGTCGGAGATCGAGAGTAGACCCTCAGGCTCAATTTACATTGCAGCGGAACGGAATGAAATGGGAGCGTCAATTTCGCCTCTCTGCGCGAGAAAGCGCGCGCGGTCACTGGAATGCTCGAGCAGTAGTATTTCGTCGACGTTTGACGTTACACTGCGCCTACCTCCGCGCCATTTTCGCGGATTCGGCAGCCTGCGGATTTCTCGCGAATGCGCGAGGATTCTCAAGAATTCAGCGGAAACACGCTACGTGATTTTTGGCTCGTATCTAGTTTGACGTTACACAATTGACCACAAACTTCAATACGGTATGTACAATATCGTTACAAAAATTCGCATCTATTCCGTTCCGCTGCAATATAAATTGAGCCTAACGGGTCATAGATGGGTGAGACTAGCAGAGTTCTTGGTGGGTGGCAGAAACCACTGGAGGCGTGGATGATGATGATCAACTAGTATGCTACATTAAAAATAATTAAAAGAGACATACCCTGTAGTTTTTCAGGATTTGCTTAGAGTGAGTTGTTTACGTCACATATTTCTTAATTTATCCTTCCATATCAATTAACACATATTAATAAAATTAGACACGTGATAGAGTGAACTAGAGAGGTGTCTTTTTGTGTTCGGTTTATGAACACATTAAAGTACGGAGTTTCTACTGCCAATATGAACATCTACTAAGTATAAAGAAAGATTGTGAAGAAGAAGAAGAAAGAAATTATGTGTACATGAGCTTTGTACTTATAGTAAAACAAAATTAAAAAGTTATTGTCCTGGATTATATATACTAAGGCTAAACAAAATAGTACTTGCAAGCTTTTGTAGAGAAATCATGATAATAGCTACATTCAACTTATATCTACTAAAATATTAAAAGTATATGGCAGATTTAATGTATACGGAAGGAAAGCTCACGAACATAGTATGACTAGAGTAAAGGTCTATTGTAAGTACATAAATGTACTAATATTATTTTAAAAGCATTAAAATTAAATATGGTGAACAAATCTTCAAATACAAGTAACAGAAGTTTAACAAAATATGTGTAATATAATCTATAACAAACTATGGCTGTTAATATAATTAAAACTATATTAAGTACAATTTCTTAATAGTATATGAAACAAAACATGTAACAAAATAAAGTTTTAATAATTGACTGTTTGGTGTCACAGTTGTTACAAAAGTAGATATATTATGTACTGTTGGGTGATTTTCCGAAAAATTTCAAATAGTGGAAATTTTTCCGGAATATCTGAAAAATTGGTAATATTTAATTCGAAGGCTCATAATATTACGTTCTTCGTTTAGAAATATCTTTAGAGTTTTATTTAGCGTGAATTATAAAATAGCTAAAAAAGTTAAAGGTTTTCATTATCCTGGTTTGCAGTCCGCCAGCGTAATGCAGTAAATGAATGTAGTCGAAGCGTGCAATTGCACGCTAATAATCCTGCTTTATGCCGGCGGACTGCAAGGCAGGATAATGGAAGAGCCTGTTTAGAGAAAAATGAGATTTAAAATGATTGGACAATGGAATCATAGGTAAAAATTTTCGACCAGTATCTTCAACTTTTGACGGTGTCACATGTCAAATGCGGAAAGAATACGAGAAAAAACAATAAGAAAAATATTCGGAAAATAGTGACTTTTTCAAAATGGAAATTTTTCCATGACCCAACACTAGATATATGAAAATCTCACAAATGTTAATTTTGCATTTAACAATGCCACTAGTTATAGCATAAAAGTAACATTAATTTGCAGCACTGATTTATTGTAACATTTTAGTTATAAATGCAATAGTAATAAATATTCAAGGTTACAAATTCCAGAAATGTTTTTACAGCATATTAAGGAAAACTAAAATTGTGACCCTTAAAGGTATTTTTTAAACTTCCTTTTTGCTTACAATTGCTAGGATTATGTAGTGTGTAACATAAATAATAAGTTGGCGTAAGCATTTCATGCTTAGATATATGCGGTCGCTCACAGATTGATGACGCGCTCTGTTGTATACTCTTGTAGCATATAGTTTTTATAATAAGTACTATAATGAAATGAGTGTTCTCTTTATATCAACCACATATACATATATTCCTGGATGGATTGTTACTTTTTTAACTAAATGCCATCCAGGGATATATGTGGTTGGTATAAACAGAACACTCACTTCATTATAATATTTATTATAACGCGCACACACTCGTAGCTCCGCACTATGGAAACCCTGTGTCGCGGGTGCCATGGACACACACATAGACAACGACAAATTACACCCAAACTCGCGATAGAAACAAATGTAGGCCATACAAATATTTCTCCCGGCCCGGGAGTCGAACCCAAGACCTCTGCGTGGCAGTCCGGAAATAGTAACCGTTCGGCCATGGAGGCAGTTAAATATATTTATCATAAAAACTACATGTTACAAGAGTATACAACAGAGTACGTCATTAATCGATGAGCGACCGCATATATTATCTAAGTTTGAAATGCTTACGCTAACTTATTATTTATATTTACACATTGCATTAATTTTTGGGTCATTATCAAAAATTTAATTCAAAAGTAAATAAAATATTTTCAGTACCAAATGACACAGACAATGATCTTATATACAGGTATGTAACAAATTAACATTGTCAATCCTATAATTAGACTTGGTCTACAATCAGTCTAGGTTGCTGAGAAAGTTTTTTAAAATACAAACACTGTATTTCTATGTTTACTTTTGAATTAAATATTTGACAATTACCATTTTATAAATTTCATACACTTAGTTATACATAAATAATATTACCTACACAATGTACATGCTAGTCAATCAAGAATCCATGCATTTGGTCGTTGTGTTATCTGTTCCCTTCACATGTCAGTGGGCAAGATATCTGGTATCAGATATTGACATAGATCCATCTCCGAGTTAACAAATGTCACTTTACCTGCTGTGTTTTCATCTAGCCTGAAATAGAATTATTATTTATTTACAAAACTGTAAGATATAATATTATAATATTATTCTGCATGCATAAAAAATATGGTCCGTTTGCATTACATACATTTTCAGATGTATTTTTATACAAAAAAAATTTAGTGCAAACACTTCGAAGTAGCAGCTCCATTAGAAGCTTGCATAAGCACTGCAGTGGTGCGGCAGCAGCGCGTCTGTAACTTTTAATTCACTAATAATGACTGCAACTGCTAGCGCGCTCGTGTCACGACACAACGTGCAATTGCTCTTCTATGAAAATTTGAAGTGTCTGCAGCGCTTCTATAAGCGTCTAATTTGAAGGCGCGTTAAAGACTGTATAATTTTTCAAGCAACTTACCATCCTTTTATGACAGCCCAGCACCCGGAGAAAAAAGTTGGAGCATTGACAATAAGACATATGCCAAGTCTTTCAGGATAATGCCTGCTTAGCAACCAGATCAGATTTTTGAGCACCTGATAGTCCATACAAGACAGTGTGAAATTGTTCAAGTCAAATACAATGCACAGGTTGTCTATTACTTCTTCAAAACACCTTTTGCTTGCATCTTCCTGATAAGAAAACAAATAGGAATAAGTTTAGAAGTATTACTTCTCAGCATTATTACGAACTAGAGTTTGCATTTAACTTGTTAGTTCATAGGTTTATTTTTTAAACATAAACTGACGCTGTGGCCGAACGGTCACCATGCTGGTTTGCCACGCAGAGGTCCTGGGTTCGATTACCGGGCCGGGAGAACTATTTGATCTACATTTATTTCTCTCGTGAGTTTGGGTGTAATTTGTGGTTGTCTATGTGTGTGTTCATGGTACCCGTGATACACGGTTTCCCTAGTGTAGTGCTATGTGTGTGCGTGTTATTTATTTAGGAAAGAGGTGCTTTCCCACCGGTGAGGCGAGACAAGGCGAGATGAGGATTGAAATTTGTATGACAAAATTTGAATTCTCTCCTAGTCCATCTTCGGTGGAAATGGTCTAGATTGACGGGGATGGGCAAGGCGAGAATTGAAATATTTTTTGGTGTAATATTGAACCTTGTTGCTGCCTTCATGGAGTATTATACTCTTTAACGGAAACACGATTTCTCGCGCGATGTCGCGACTGCCGGCACGGTCTCGCGCAAGCTCGCGATGGCTATTAATATCAATCGCGAAATTGGTTAGTACATACGATTTGAGATTAAAAAAAAGATGGTTTCATCTGATTCTTCTTCTGTTAAGACATTTAATAATAATAATTTACAGGACATGTTAGTTCAGCCGTGTATTATCGCTAGGTGAACTGAACAGCACTGAATCTTTACTATCCACAATCACAGCGCAAGCTCGCAATGGCTCGCACGAGATATTAATGGCAATTTTTGGTGGAAATGGTGGAAAACCACATTTAGTCTTCTGATAGACATTTTAGTATTATACACAAAGTTCAGTAGTCAAGTTTTGATTGATTTATGCACGTAACAACTACTTTCTATAATTGTTATTTAAAAAGGTAAAATTTAAAAAAATATTGACTTTAACAATGGTTACATATCGACTATGAACTGGCAACCGGTACTATCTCAATTTTGATAACTTTACACCATGGAGAAAAAAATTGTTTGCGTCATTGCGTCATTTATACTATATAAAAATACGTAGTGTATGTACATATGAGCGCCGACAATAGACCAACGTGTCGGCGGCGTTTCGGCGGCGCGGGCGCGACCCTAAAACGAATTTGTATAACTGTGTTAACTTTTTCAAGGGAAAAAATAAAATTACGTATTTTCTATAGTAGTAAAATTTTTATCAGTTCGATCTGGCGCTCCGATTGTATACACGTGCACGCTTCCGTCTTGTGTATGCGTAGTGAAAATGGTGACGCCAGAAATTGACAAATTATTTTTTTTAAACAGAACATCTTTAAACATAAAGTCACTAACTAACTTTTGTCGCCCATCTATGTCACCTCTCCTGAGGCCGGACGGCACGCTGGCCTATACTGCCGAAGACAAGGCAAATCTTTTTGCCTCACTCTTTGCAAAGAGTTCGCGTCTGGATCTAATCTTACCTCAGGCTGGCTGCACTATGGCGCCAATTCGCATACACCAAAATAAAGCTAGCGAGGCAGATGGAATTCCGGCACGTCTTACATAACTGTGCGCCTGAGTTTTCTCCTTTTCTCATACGCTTACGCCTGTACCGCCTGTTCCTGAACCTGTGCCGAAAAAGGGAAGCAGAGCTGACTCTGTCAACTAGACCTATCTCAGTCACTTCCATACTCTGCAAGACTATGGAACGTGTGCTCAACAATCGTCTCCTCTCGTACCTTGAAGACCGTCTCCTCTCGTACCTTGAAGACCTCCTCAGTGATTGCCAGTACGGATTCCGACGAGGGCGACCAACTGGGGATTTTCTTGTGTATGCCTGTCACATATGGTGCGAGGCTATAGAAAAGTAAAGCGAAGCACTCGCCGTGTCTTTGGATATTTCTAAAACCTTTGACAGGGTCTGGCACGCAAGCCTTTTAAGTAAGCTTCCCTTTTATGGGTTTCCCACTGACCTTTGCAATTGGATCTCGGATTTCTTGAGCGAATGTTCGATTCGAGTGGTCTTAGAAGGCTACTCTTCCGAATATATGCGATAGATTCCTCAGGGTTCCGTACTGTCTGCAACTCTCTTTTTGCTGCATATCAAAGATATGTTAATTCCAGGTACCTTTGCGTACGCTGATGACAACACAGTTGTAAATATGAACTTGACCAATGCAAGGGTCAGTGGAGAGAAAATCCAGTCTTGTCGAGAGTCCATAGTCCAATCCGTTTGGATTTCACACTCAAGACAGTCTTCGATTGGGGCGATGCCAATCTTGTCAAATTTACCGCTACCAAAACACACGCGTGTCTATTCTCCACAAAACGGAGTCCTTATGAGCTGACTCCGACTTATCGTGATATATCCATACCCATAGCCGACTGTCTCCAGCTACTTTGAATGGACCTGTCGGTCTAATTTGTATTTCGGCAGATACATTGAATCCATGGCCAAATATGCAGCAAGGAAGCTTGGGATCCTTTCCAGAGTGAGGCGTTACTTCACACCGGGACAAGCACCATATCTTTTTACGTTAGTTTTGATTATAGTGACCCTCCCTACCTACCCTTAGGGCATACGAGAAGGACACTATAACCTGTGCGCACAGGAACCTTACAAGTTCAGGTTCTGACCCCAGATCATCCAGTGCACAGGGTTGTCACCGACTTCTGTCACTTGAACTCATCCGGTTCTTCGAGAGGCTAGTGCCTCGGGTGAGCCGCCCCGGGTGCACGTACAGTATCCTCCCTGTTTTCCAGATAGGTACCGGAGCTGTAGGCACGCTCACTTCCCGTTGCGCATTGCACAACTAGCAGTTGCCACCGTTAAGCCGTCGACTCTGAGTCCACTACCAAATATCCTCATTGGTGGCGGAGCTGTAAGGCACGCTCACTTCCTGACGCCGAAAAACGACGTCTCTCAGTTCCCAATAACCTAAGCGGCTGGAGGGACCGGAGGATATCTAGCTTATCCTCTACTAACTCTCCGGGCTAGTGCCGGAGATGCCAGTCGCAGTGTCCTGCGACAATGGCCGAACATAGCTTCCAACTTAAAGGGCAACTCACGTGCCCCGCGCGTCTCCTCGCATACTAAGACGCGCTAGCTGCTCACGAGACAGACGCCCCGGCACAAGCAAAACCGGGGCAGACAAACATGTCCGTCTCTGCAGCTAACCACAAACCCCAGCGAGTCCTTACCCAAGTACGGGTCCGCCAGAGACGCCCGCAAAGGCGTATCACTGGCGGAGGGCTTGGCCCGGACGCCCGCCGTACCCTGGTCTTGCCGTCGAGCCCGTAGTCTCTCCGGAAAACCCTATCTCTCGGGTCTGTAGATGGGGACAACACACACCTGGACAGTTGTTTCAGCTGTACCAAGCACAAGTATGGTCTTGCATGAAGTACTGCTGCCACCTTTAGGATGGCTCTGCTACATATCAACTGGCCACCTTGGATTCAATTGACAACCGTGCCAAGAAGCTTATAGGTGACTCGGAATTAGTGGAGGCGAAGCTGCAGAGCCTTGAACACCGCCATAAAGTTGCCTGCTTATCGGTATTTTACAGGATATATCACGGAGAGTGTGCGATGGAATTACACGATTTAATTCCGCTTTCCCCTTTCCATCACCGGGGGACTAGGCGTAGGCTTGGGTTCCACCGCTATGTTGTGGATATTAAAGATTCACACGAAGCGTTATGTTTCCACATTTATATGGCGAACGGCTATGGAGTGGAATTCCCTGCCTGCAGACTTGTTCCCAGAACGTTATAACTTGAGCCTTTTCAAGGCGAAAGTAAATAGGCTTTATTTAGGTGTGCATGCTCCATCGTCGACCTCATCGTCACTTTCCATCAGGTGAAATGAAGGTCAATCGCGAACTTACATTTTATAAAAAAAAACTTTTATCTCAGAAAAGTCATTTTCTGGCGTCGCCATTTTCACATACGTGTGGTGCACTACAAGTTTCCGGAATGAATAAGAAAAAAATACTATAAATGGTCAGAAATTAATTTATTGTTTCTCAAAATATTCTCCAGTTATAAATATTAAAATATAAAAGTAATGGGACTTACTCGCGTAGTATTTTAGTCGGAAGCGGTACGACTAGTTTCGACCATAATCGATGGTCTTCTTCAGGGGTTGAGTGCAACGTTCGCGACCGCGTCACGTCTAGCACTGCGCGCTGCGGCTCTCTGCGCGCGCGCCGATGACGCAGTCCGCAGTGGGGAACTCGGGAGGCTCTTCTTCGCTACTGCTGTCCGTAGGATTGTTGTCGGGAACAGTCCAGCACACAGAGCTCACCACATCGTTACCACTAACATCAGCAGCTGCAAACCGAGCGCCATGAAGACACAGCTTCCAGGTCGATGGCAAGCTCCAGCCTCCGTCTCTATTAAAATTTGGTCGCCTACTTATTTCAATAGCCTCTCGTATTTTACGGGGCACAAAATACTTCTCCCGCGCTCCCCTTCTTACTTCTCCCCCTGTGAGTTATAAAACAGTTATAAATATTTTTAAAAACATTTATGCCAGTCGTCCGTGACAATCTCAGAAACATATTTTTCATACCCTTCGACAGCCTCTTCAGGTGATGAAAATCGTTGACCGCGTAACTAGTTTTTAAGTTTTGGAAATAAATAAATGTCACAAGGTGCCAGGTCGGGACTATACGCGGGATGGCTCATAAGGTCAACGTTCCTCACCTTCAAAAATTTATTTGTCTGTCTGGCCATGTGAGAACTGGCATTATCGTGGTGCAAGATGATACGGCGTTTACAGTTATTTTTACGGAGTTTGTCAATAACTTCCGGCAAACAAATGGTCGTGTACCAATCACTATTCACGGTACAACGATTCTCAAAAGCAACAGTACCACGTCTCGAGTTTTATTAAAAAAGAAGCAATCATCCGCTTAGAGGCATTTTGCACGCGCGCCACATTAGTTGGTTTCGGTTCATCTCGAACGACCCATACGCTCGATTGCTGCTTTGTTTTGGGATCGTAACTATAAATCCATGTTTCGTCACCTGTTACTATGTCCCACACCAAATTTGACGCCTCTTCGTTGAATCTGGTAAGCATGGCATTGCATCAAGTGACGCGATCCGTTTTTTTAGCCTCAGTCAAATTGTGTGGGATCCACCGAGAGCACAACTTTTTCACACCCAAATGTTTGTGTAGTATTGATTGTATTTGACTCATGCCTATGCCTAAAGATGCCCGAATCACTTGCATGGTATGTCTGTTTCGATCATACGGCGCACAGCATCGATGTTTTTGTTGTTCACAGCAGTGGACGGGCGACCATCACGAAATTCGTCACTGAGATTCACACGACCGCGTTTCAATTCTGCAAACCAGCTATAAATAGTCGTCTTGTATGGTGCTTCATCGCCAAAAGCAGTTTGAAGCCGAGCGAAACTCCGCTGAGCTGTTCAATTACACTTAAAGTCGTAGAAAATCATACTACGAAAATTGTCACGAGTTAAATCCATGGTGATATAGACAACCAATTTCTAAAATGACGCCACAATGTAAAAACAAGTGACTGTCGGATGAAACAAACTGTATTGTACAGCCAAAGAGTTCCATTTTCAAATGTTGTAATTACTTTTTAAATATTGTTTATGTAAATGGCCAGTTCCGGAAACCTATAGTGCGCCCTATGTACACAATACGGAAGAGTGCGCGTGCGTACGATCGGAGCGCCTGATCGACCTGAACGGCGGCGCGTCGATTGCATTTGAAAAACGCGGCGGCAGAGGCGCGCCGGAACGGCGCTCATGTCTAAGTGTATGTGTAATAAAAATATTTAAAACTACGTATTTTTATTGAATAGATCAGATGCTATATAAATGACGCAAACAATTTTTTTCTTCATCTTGTAAAGTTGTCAAAATTGAGATAATACCTATTGCCAGTTCACAGTCGATATGCAACTTTTAGGCTGATAAAAATGCGTTTGCATCGCGACACTAGCGATATAGGCAGTTGAATTGATGCAAATATGCTACTGCATTAATACCATTACTTATGTTTCACCACTAAACACGGGTATCGCGATTATATAGCTGCTTAAGTGGTGCATGTTCGTAAAGGTAGACATTAGCAACTGCATCATAGGTTAACAGCTGCAGGCACGCTGCTAAAAGTTGATGTTTATTCCCACTAGTTCAGTTGACAGGACTACAGCTACTTTTCTGCCCACTTGTCCTGTTAACTGAACAAATGGGATTTACGATTCCCAGTAGTTCTGTCCGATTATTTCCACTAGTTCTGTTACACTATTCTGTTGATAGAAGTACTGGTATTTTTTCCCATTTGTTCCGTGGTACAATTCTAGACTGAAAACTCATACACAGAACTAGTGGGGAGAGAAAATGCTCAGTAATTTTGTGCAGAAAACTGTCTATTTATCAACAGAACAAATGAGAAGAAAAGTACCAGTAGTAGTTCTGTCAACAGAACTGTACAACAGAACTAGTGGGAATAAACGAAAATTGGCATGTGTTCTTAAGGATAGACTATTTGAGGTTTTCGTCATTGATCACATTATCGTCAAAGAGTGAATACCGCATATGTGATTTCTCTGTAATTAATAGTAATGTTTATAGTTAGCATTTGAATTAGTTAAATTATACCTCTTTCAGATACTATATTACTTTAATAATATATTTGAGCAAAAAGTTTATAATTTCTACATTAACAAAAATCAGTAAAATGTGATTATGTGTATTCACGTGGTTTTCACTCTAAGGCCACATTATGAATTTTAATTATTATGGATAAACTTTATCACTTGGTAATGAAAGACTGGTTTCAAACAGTAGTATTAAAATTACCAAACAGTAAACAATGAACTTGGTCAAATCATCGATGTTCCTGTCGCTTGAGCTGTGGTTCTTGGAGGGAATATAAATAATGGGTCGACCAGCAATATCCCGGTGTCTTAGCACCCTAGCTTTATCTGAATACTTTTCTATGAGCTCCTTATCATTTTGTAACTCTGATACTCCATAATCTGCCCTCCACTTGTTAGTTTTTAATAGAGCCTGAAAATGAAAGAGCTTGTGGTAATAAAACTACCTAAACTGCCATGGGAGTATGCGAAATCGGTAAAAGAAATTTGTTCACAAGTTAGAAAATTTTATTATTACTTCTTGTGTTAAAGAATGCAGTGAACATGACATGAGAGCATTAGTAACAAATCAATACATTAGAATTTGATTAAGGGAGCGTTGACCTGAAAAATAAACAGGTTTGGGAACGCACTTGGAATGCATTGTCGACAGTTTTGAAAGCTCGTAGATATCTTCGCAATGAAAAATCATTGTGGTACTGCCCTGGGTCAGCGCTCACGATTAAATCCATCCTATCTTTCAGCTGTCTCAAATCGTCCTCGTTCACATGTTTTAGTTCCTCCGCCATATTTGACGATATATTCAGGGACTGAATATCAAAAATACTGAAAATGTACAGTTCTTGCTTCAGTACGCTACTTTCAATTATCTCTTAATTCCCCCGATAATTTCCTAAAATTCTGACAGTTTTTTTTTCTTTTTATTTCTCTTGGCTTTTCGCGGTAAGCTTTTTAGCCACTGACCTCTCTAATTTAGTAGTTTGTGTCTCTAATGATACGCTGCTGGATGGACTGAGCTTGCCATATCAAGTGACAGTGAATTAGTGTTGCCATGTCCAAAATGTGGTCGACGGTGATTCTGCTCGTAAAATACGGTAGATCCTAAAGAAATTACGGTGATTGGGCCAGGAAAAAAAAAACAGCGTAATTATGGTATATTATTAATTTACTATACTTTCAATAGTAATTTAACTTTGTAAGAGTAACCTTTTACGAGAATGAATTACCTTACATACTTCAACTTATACTTAAGTAAATATTAATAATAATAAAAACCAATTTAGAGCATAATTTATTTTTTTATTATTTTCAAAGGAAAATTACAATTATAATAAGAAAAAATTAAATCTAACCATTTACAAAAATGAGGAGAGGAATACCTTGGTAGATTAATTTCTAAATCTCATCCTTTTTGTAAAACAACAATTGTCAAATACATCTTAATTTTTATAAATGTTTTGATTTAATCTTTTCAACATTTCCTCGTCAGCCTTAAAATTGACGCATATTTGCCGATGCCTTCGGAGAGACTGCTGCATCAAAAGATTTCCATAAAGGGGGCAGAATATTATTAATTTAATCGCATACATCAATCTCGCACTTCCTCAACTATGCTTTACTACAAAAAATCCAGCTCCGACAGTCAGTCGGTTAGATTACGGTAGATTTTGTCACCGTTGTCATGTAGATGGTAAGTGGTAAATTTGTGCTGAGTACGGTGCATTTACCGTAATTACGGTGCACATGGCAACATTGCAGCGAATTTTTATGACAATTTGAAGCGCCATCGTCGAGCGTCCCGGGAACTAAAATTGACGCTTGTTGCTTGTTTGATAATGGCGAGTCCCTATATTGCCCAACAACGTAATGTCCGACACAGTAATGCTCGACACAAGAATGTCCCCCAGGAATGCGCGACAAGAGAATCCGTTGCATACGGCCTCTGTATTCAAAGGAGAAAGCAGTATGTACGCTTAGCTTTCTGCTGTTTATTTTTCGTTGGAAGTGGTTCTTCATTTTACCGTGGCTATTAAAAAGGGTAAAAATAAGTTATTAAAATCGCTAGCTGTCATTTGCTAAAAAGTAAAAATTAATAAAGAAGAGTTAAATTTTGGAAGATCAGACATCACACTCTGAACAAAGCCTTTTAAAAATGATGATACCACGTGACCTTTGTCCCCAATTCCTGTGCCGGACATTCCTGTGTTGAGCATTCTTGTGTCGTACAATGTACATTAGCGATAGGACGAGGTGTATTTGTTTGAACTCGAGTTAATCGAGTTGACTTGACTGCTAACTTGAGTTAACTCGACTCGGTGTTTGACAGAGCAACCGTGAGTCGCGAGTAAAATTCGAACCGACGATTCACCGAGTTGGACACGATCGACCGGCCGACCGCGACTCGAGCGTGACCGAAAGTCACCGAACCGACCGAGTTCGCTTGCGTTCATAAAGTGTAGCTCGACTTGACTCGTTGTGGGAGTAACTCGAGTTAAATAACTAGACTCGCCTATCGCTCGCGACTCGCGTGCGTGCTCTGAAGGTCACCGACGGCGACGGCGACGCGCTGTATGAATGAAGTATTCGGTTCGGCGACGGGCGGTGCGGGTCAACCGAGTTAGCTCGAGTTCATAAAAAAGCAACTCGAGTTACTCGTATAACGAGTTAACCGAGTTAAATAACTCGACTCGCCCATTGCTATTGTAAAACGCCAGCACATCAAGCTACATATTGACCATATTGACGTATCTTGTTCCGTTGCACTGGAGGCGATTTTCGAACAAAAATGTGTAGTCTGATGTGCCGTTGTCCGTACATTGACGGCTCCCGATAAAATAGCTCGCTCCGGCCTTCTTTGTAATATATTTGCGATATATTTGAGAATTTTTATGAAAATCACAGTTTCGTAACGGTATTTTGGGGCGATTCCAGGTTTTTATCTCGATAGTGGTTTTCGTGAACATAATAATTTACCATGAGAGTATGTGTATTTTGTAAAACTCGCTATGAAAAGGGCAGTGGAATCATTTTTCACAAGTGAAATTATCATATTTTATTAATTATAGGGACATTGGGACATTTTTATGATATTTTATCACATTTGATTAAAGTAACAATTCATTTTTCTAAGATAGTGTTGTGTAAAGGTTGTGTATAAGTTTCATATAGAAAAAGTTTTTTGTGTTAGATTTCTACATTAAATATTATTATATAGCGTTTTGTACTTATTTTGGATAGATCAGTAGGTTATTAATATGTATATGGCGTATATTCCGGCTTGATAAATGCGGTAAACAAAAAAGTTACCTCAAAATTTTGTATTATATTACTGTGTGGGCTCAACTTTAGTATACGTGACGTCGAGTTGGGCGTTCAAATAGAACCCCAGAATACAATAGAACATCCTACTCAAAAGGAACCCCTCCACAAATTTCCAGTTTTAGGATGCCAAAATAATTTTCGAGAAAATTTTTGAAAATCGTGAAAATTATGTCAAAAAAGCACACGCCACTGTAATGATATTATGTGTCGTTTAAATTTTGAAAGTATATTACGTTTTATTGGTTTTTAAAACACTATTTAATAGCATTTACATTATATTTAAAATATTATTTCTTAAGAAGGTTACTTTGAAATAGTAATGATAATTCAATAACAATTTCGTAATTTCAACAATAAAACGCAACGTCATTTATCGCGTTTGTTTTTTTCTTATTTCTCTTGGCTTTTCACGGTAAGCGTTTTAGCCATTTACAGAGTGTTTTTACTGCGTATTTATGTTGTTGTTCGTTGTGTATAAAGATTGTTAGGTTTTTAAATTGCAATCGCGAAAGTCCCTTTGGGCAGAAACGAATTGGATTATTTAGGTTAAGGTAGGTTTGTTTTATACAAACGCGGAAGTCCCTCTGGGCAGAAAAGAATTGGATAATTTAGGTTAAATCAGTTTTTTTTATACAAACGCAGAAGTCCCTCTGGGCAGAAACGAATTGGATTATTTAGGTTAAATTAGGTTTTTTTTATACAAACGCGGAAGTCTTTCTGGGCAAAAGCGAATTGGATCGATATAGGTAGATATATTGGAGTCCGTGTGTGCACTAAACGTCAAAATATATGATTTTTGAGCTTTTTTTTTAATTTTTTTTTCTCGAAAACTATTAATATTCTTAGTTTAAACTTCGTTTGGGGGTTCCCCTCACCTACCTCTCATTCCCACATTTTTTACTCTTTTTCCTGTGCATTTGGTGCGAAAATATTAGGGGTTAAAGTATGAAATTGCAGTTTTATTGCAATAGGTTCTTTGAATTTTCATAGAATCTTCATGGTTTGAGGTTTTCGAATGAAACTTTTTTCAAATGGTTTCTGTGATTTTTTTTTTAAATTTGAAACATTTGAATATCGACTTTCAATTGTTTTTGTTATTCAATTTAGACAAGAAAGATGGATACTGCGAAAATTCGAGTGATTTTTGAATACGAGTTCCGGCGCGGAACTAACGCGGCAGAAACAGCCCGCAATATCAATGCTGCGTTTGGAGAGGGGTCTACTAATGAACGCACCGTGCGATTTTGGTTTAAACGCTTTCGTGATGGAAATTTCGACTTAAAGAACGAGCCACGAGGAAGACCGCCCACACAGGTGAATAACGATGAATTAAGAGAGATAGTGGAAGCCGATCCTAGTCAAACTACCCAGGAATTAGCGGCATGGTTTAACGTTACCTTACCCACAATATTGACTCACTTGCGTCAAATCAATAAAATAAAAAAATACGAAAAATGGGTGCCTCATGATTTGACTGATCTGCAGAAAGAAACGCGTGTTGAAACTTGTGTTGCCTTGTTGAACCGGTACAGAAATGAAGGAATATTGGATCGAATTGTAACATGTGATGAAAAGTCGATTCTTTATGATAACCGGAAAAGAAAAATGCAATGGATGACCCCAGGTCAAATGCCACAACAGTGTCCTAAAGCAAAACTTACCAATAAAAAGGTAATGGTAACTGTTTGGTGGTCTCAGCATGGTGTTATTCACTATAGTTTTCTCCGATCTGGTCAAGCAATAACGGCAGATGTCTATTGTGCCGAACTCCGAACCATGTTGACAAAACTAGCAGTAAAACAGCCCCGACTCATGAATCGATCTTCACCATTATTGCTCCACGACAACGCGAGACCTCACACAGCACGAGAAACCATTTTGACCCTTCAGGAACTGCAGTTAGAAACCATTCGTCATCCTCCGTATTCACCAGACCTTGCTCCAACGGACTACCATTTTTTTCGTGATTTGGACAATTATCTACGTGACAAGAAGTTTTCTTCCCAGGAGGCAGTACAAAATGCTTTCACACAGTTTGTGCAGTCTAGATCGTCGGAGTTCTATCGCAAAGGCATTAATAACCTTCCCATTAGATGGCAGCAATGTATAGATAATAATGGCAACTATTTTGATTAAATAAATTTGTTAAAAATTTAAAAAATAAACAATTTAGATTTTCAGTACAAATCGGCAATTTCATACTTTAACCCCTATTATATAATTTTGAGGTTATTTTTTTCGAATTTTCAAAAATTAATATCTCGAAAACCTTTCGAAAACTATCAACGTTCTAACTTTGAAATTTTGCAGGGGGTCTCCCCCCCCGCCTACCCCCCTGACGTCACGTTTACTAAAGTCCTTCCGTTTTATTAAACACACATCACGTACCATCTTAAAAAGTGGCTGTGTACTATATATAGCATGGGACGTAGCTTGGGCTTGCGTAAGAGAGGTACTTTATAAATATAAACGACGATTATATCATAATTATAACTTTA